ACTTCTAGAGAAGGAAGTCCTAAAGTGTGTACTGTGGTTGACCTTATGTTCGGTATAAGTGCTTGGTCTTGTTCTGTCAGGTGTGTATGGTGTACTGAACTCTACTGATGTACTCCATATAATTCAGCACGCTCCAACACAGTTAGTCATTACGAGAAAGGTATATCACATTATAATGTATGATTAAAGAAGTGGAGATTTTCGACCTAATTAATTTTAAAACAGTTTTTTTAATATTTAAGGAAACTATTTTTAACATTCGATTTACTTGCCTTGTTATTCCACACGGACTATTACCATGGAGATAAGACATCCTCAAGAGATTTAAAAAAAATGAAGAATGTGATTCAGAAATGAATCAGAGACTTTCAGTTCTCATCTGCTAAAACTAAGCCACGGGTATGAATTTATTATGAATGATAAAATAAATACGGTTTTGTTTTTTTAAGTTCTAATAAATTTTATTCGAAAAATCACACGAAGTAATTGTGATCTGAATTTTTTTTAGTTATTATTCTAAAATATATCCCTACAGTTAGTACAAAAGGTCGTATATAAAAATTAAGTTTTTTTTTAATTTAAGACATCTGATTATTTCATAATGATTTATTAGCATAATTTCTTATTTTATTTACCTGCACTATTTTAAATAGTAGCAGACAATTTGTTGCAGTTGCAGATTATAAAATGTAACCTTTAGTACAAATAGAATTAACATAGAAAATTGATAAATACGATCTTTTGCACTAACGGTAGCGGCATGCTGTTTTAATAGTTATTATTTGCAATTTTTATCCAAATATTCTACAACTTTTAACACTATTAATGCCACCAACTATTCAGTATTAACACTATTCAGTATTTTATTTTCTAATAGTTTCTCATGACTATAAGCTAAGAACTAAATTGATTGACGAATGTGATTATTGATGGAGTTTCATAAAAGTATCTTTCTTTAACGGAATACTTCCGGATGATTTAGAATAAAAAATGCTTGGAAATAAGAGACGAACACAGCGTTTTAACTTCCATATTTCTGATTGATCGCCAAACTTCTTCCGACTTTACAGCAGAGAAAGTATATTTAAAAAAAAAAAATAATACCCCTTTCGTCCTCAATACTTTTATTTAAACCAAGAAAAAGTTAGAGTGGACAAGTTCGCTCTTTTCTGAAGCGGGATTTAAAGTGTGTATTACAACTTTTTGTATTACATCTAAGTTGGGTGACCTCCCGACCGTGTCCCGACTCCCCGACAAAGTTAATGTCGAACTCGAGGGCTCCGGATAAATCCTTGCAAAGAACAATTCGATATCAAACAAGAACAGGGAATTTTCAGAGAGTGACGTTTAAAAATAAAATAAAATCAGAGAGTAAATAAATAATTATATAAAGTGAGATAGATACTAATAGTTTAAATAAATAATTAAGTTTAGTCAGGGGGTAAAAGAGTATAGATTAATATAACTAGAAGAGATTATTAAAAATTGAATCTCATGCGAAGTTGATGGCAGTTTAATTTAATTAAGAAATCTGTTTTTTTACAAATTTTCTCCTTCGATTTAAAGTTTATTTATATCAAGAAGTGTTGGCTTCAGCCAAATATAGGCAAAATTAATGATCACAACTGAAAATAAAACTTAATGACCACACCAATTTTGTAATTGTGATTCAATAGCATTATAAATACACGGAAAATGTGACACGATTATCTGATTACTAATCACTGTGAACGTAACCACATAATCATGATTACAAAAAAAAAAAAAAAAAAAAAAAACTGTAAAAGTAATCGTTGATTATGATTATGCCTATGTATAGTTTCAGGTGTTTCATAATGGTATCTGCTACGAAATATTATTAAGAAATCAATTAAAACAAAAGTTCCCCATGGGTTGTTTAAAACAAAACCCATGGGGATCCAGTTGAAAGAAAAGGTGTTCCTTTATAACCTATCCTTCGCAGATGACCAGGTCATCATTGCACAGGACGCAGAAGATGCTGGATATATGTTAAGAAAATTAAATGAGGAATATCAGCACTGGGGACTAGTCATTAATGCAGAGAAATAACGAGGATATAGAACTGAATCCAGGAGGGGTTCTAAAACGAATTAAACATTTTAGATATCTTGGTTCTATAATTGAAATAGATAGTGCATGTGATGTGGAAAAAAACCGAAAAAAAAAAACAGATCGCAATAAGACCATATCAATTCTCAACTCGGTATTATGGAACCGGAAAATTATCCCCAAAACAAAAAAAACATCTACAGTAGTATAGTACTGAGCATTATGACATATGGGTCAGAAACTTGGACCATAAAAAGCAACCTCAGGAAGAAACTTCTAGCCACCGAAATGGACTACTGGAGACGAGCGGCGGGAATATCCAGAATGGATAAAGTCAGAAATACGACCATCAGAGAAAAGATGGAGGCTAAAAGAACCATTCTGGAAGAGATTGAGATAAAACGCCTGAAGTGGTATGGACATTTGAAAAGAATGCCTGAAGGAAGACTACCCAAAGAAGTCCACTTATGGAAAACTAGGAAAGAAGAAGACAGAGGAAGACCTGGGATAACGAAGTGGAGGAATCCATGATGGGTCATGGTCTACGGGAAGAATGGACCTTAGATAGAATATTATGGAAAGAAGCCATTCAAGGTTTAGGTTAAGGAAACCCACTATTAGTGGAAACTTTATATCTAAAGAAAAGAAAACAAATCATTTCATAAACCAGAACTAAATAATTACCCATTAGTACAGTCAACGAAGGCAGCATGAGAAAGGAAGTATTTTACTGATAATTCTTTGGGAATGCCTAAGAGGCAAACGTTATAGAAGTTCTCATCTCTTTACCTACCGCGTGTAGAAAAAATCTTCGAGAGTGTGACTTTAGCATTTTCGAGTCTAGTGGCGCCAATTAGAATCCAGTTTGGGTAGGGTGAAATTGATTTCTCTGGCGGACTCACGGAATGATTCTCGATCTTACCACTCTGGTTAGAATTGGTTTGGTTGTACTTCTAAAACGATTCTCCTCTCCCTTATGCTTCAAATGATGAACTAAGGATTAAACAACAATAAAGTGGGAACACCAGAAAGCTCCCATTTCTTCGGCTTTTCAGTTATCTCAAAAACCGTCATACAGGAAACCTGCTTGATTGGTATAAATTTTTACTAATTTATCTGTAATGGGCCAAACGTTAAGGCAGTTAAGGCAGAATAAATATTCTGCTATGTTTCATGAAAATCTCTACTTCGATTATTTTATTTATTTATTGTTCCCTTTATAAGCTTATACTGTATGTTGAATATTTACACACAAGGGGTATAAACTATCTGTTTTTAAAATACATAATGATGAAATGTATATATTTTGTTAAAGATATAAAATATATTATATTAATTGATTATGTTTGAAGATGCACTGATTCCATGAGACTAATTAAATAGTTCACTATGACAAAACATTTTATTATTTATCTGAAAAAAAAAGAATTAATAGTTGACCGTTGCATTATAAAGGAAGGAGATGGTCCGGGGTGGTGGTCATAAATAGGCTGAATAGTGGCAAAACTAGATATAAAATAGTTTTAGTAAAAATATAATAGTTTTTAAACTACTCAGCATATAAAAGAAGTTTTCGCTAATAGTTTTACTACTGTATGTAATTATTGACGTAGTTTCTTTAAAATCTTTATAAGCTTCATTAAAATAGCTATAGTCGTTTTGGCGCTACAGTTTATAGAAACATAGGTTTTTCCATTTCTAGCGAAAGGTCGGATGATGGTGGCGAATTCCTACGATCATCCTCGGTTGACTTCTGAATCATAAAACCTATCTTTTTTTTGGGGGGGGAGGGAGAGTTGAAATTATTGAAAACAACCAACAAAAAAATTGATTGTAAATCCCCATTACTCAATAAGGATTCTGAAGAAATAACGATTAAGATTGACGTAATTTTATGACAGGAAACATCCACATGTATAAGTCGACCTTCTATGAAGAAAATTCTATTTCTTTACATCATCAAAAATATCTGTTTAAAAAAATCGATTAATCTTCTTTTATTTCAGTCCTTTTTATATTTAGATTATATAACATTTTGAAAATTGTTATAAATTTGTGATTTCTATAATTATGTTGTGACATCGATGTTTGTGCAATCCATATGAAAATTGTCAGGTACATATTATCCTTAATTTTTAAGATGCCTTTTAAAGATATTGAGTGGTACCTAACTGCCCATGTAAATGAGTTAAATTGACTGTTATGTCATATTTTAGAGAAATTCAGTTCATGCAAATCACCTCAACGTGAATAATATTTTAGGATACTCGTTATGGTAGACTATCAAGGATTTAACACGGTTTAGTAATACATGCGATATTAGAAATCGGTTGTCAACACTTTTCCTTTTCTACATGTATATAAAAATATACACACACATCTTTTTAAGCTTTCATTGGATGTTGTAATATTTGTGACCTTGAATTTCTTAATTAATTGTGTTTACGTGACCTGAACCATAGAATCCCTGTCATGCAACATGAAGACATGTTCGTTTTCGATTGAACTATATAAAAAAGTGAAAATTTCCATTAACAACAGTTTTATTTCTTTCCATTCGACATCAGAAATATTTAAGCAATGATTTATGGAAATATTTAATTATGATATAAATATTAATTGAAACTGATTGAAAAAGAACTGACACCCCTTCACTAAACTTAGTATAATCAAATAAAAATATTGATTATAATAATAATTTGCAATTAATTCAATGTATTTAACTGTATATATTTATATAAATCCTCAATAATTTATATATTCGCAAATCGGTCCCTCGTGTAAGGACACAGTTGCCAGGGTTGGTCAATTTTATCTTTATAAGAATGGATACATCAAGTAATGCTTAATATGTAATATTTTATGACCTTATTAAACAGGTCAACATAATATAAAAATAAATTTATGAAATTTTATCAAAAAATACATACGGCTGGTCGGAGATTTCCTCGAAAACCGATGATCAACTGAAACCACTTAGGCCACCCTGTGAAAAAATGATATGAGAATTTATTATGGTTATTATTTTAAAAATGTTTAAATTATTTACTTAATTAAAGGAGAATTCAAAATACTTAATCCAAATTAAAGAAAATATCATTTAGAACTATAAATATTTTCTAAAACAATAGTAAATGAGTAATTTATTATTTATCTCTAAACTGCCCTTAGAGCAGAAGAAATTGATGGTTTATACATTTTTAACATTTTTTTTTTGAAGGGCGTATGGATAGAATAAGAAACTTCATTTCTGATCATGTTAAACGTATAATAAATTACATAAACTAAATGACTCTTCCAGTTGAGCAGGTCAAGTAAATTTATGTTATTAAAAATCAATCGATATTCGTTTTTCCTTCCATTGAAACTCTTAGACAAGAATTAGTATTGAAAAACAATTAAATTTGGTACTTTATTTTATTGAAAACAAATGTTTTTCGCCCGTTTACTAAAGCCTTCAAACTTCAGCATTTTTACCAAATTCAGCGTTAATCCGTTTGGACTGTGAAATACCCATATCTATAAGTTTTTGATTTTCTTTTCTTTTAAGCAATTTAAAAATAAAGAATAACTTCTTGAACATTTTTATTTTATATCTTTGTTTCTAATATGTTAACGGAGATCGATTCAATTATGAGAGATTTTTAGGGCTCTATAGATCTGGCACATACCAAATTATAAAAAAAAAATATATATATATATAAATGTTTAAGAGGTTATTCATTTTTTTTTAAATTTCTTATAGCGGAATAAATCAATGTTCAGTTGTGCCATCATCTGTAACCTACCAGTAAAAGGGAACCTGTTCCATTTTCTGGCTAAATATTCAAGGCTTAGTCAAATTTGTATCGAATTTCTTGGTACTAGCCCGGTTCAAAATGATATCCTAATTTCCCTTCTGTATGAATGTTTTTCTATTTATTTCTTTTATTTATAATTTATTTAATTTTGCTACGAATTTCTGTATTTTATTTAATTTTAATTCTAAGTTACATTTTCATGGTTTATTATAGCCTTTGTTATATAGATGTATATATATTTTTTTTATTATTTATTTATTTTTTTATTTATTATTTATTTTCTTATTGTATTGTATAGATGGTATGAATGTGTCTCACTCAGCCTTAGTACTTAGTGCCCTTAAGTGTGGCAAAATGTATTATTTATCAATAAAAAGATAAAAAAAAAATTTCCCTTCTAAATGCCCCGCCCCCTCTGTGAGCGAATGTCGTAAAATTGTTGGCTTTGCTCGACATGCATGGACACACCGTTTTAATTTGCTACATCCAGCATAAACAATGATCCGTCTAATTTATTTTTGATCAGTTTTAGTCATGTTATTGTTCATTTTTTACATTATTTTCCTTGATTATTATTTCTTAGGCATAAAATATTCAAAATATTTATTATCTTATATTGTATTAGTTGTTTTATTATTTTTCAGTTACTCATGTATATGCAATTGTTACAAAGCCTTTATTTGTACTATACCTGTAAAACATATAAAATTTCCGGCAGACGAATAATCATGGCGTATAAATGTTTTGTGTATTTTGGAAATTTATAATTTATGCATTTTTAATAAAGTATTTATCATTCATTCATATAACGGAATAAAATTTGAAATTTCTTAATATTAATTATAAGAGCTGTATTAATTAACTTTCAATTTGGTGAAAATGTTGAGGAGTTATGAATGCTTTAGTTAACGGCTGGGGAAAATCTTCCATGAAAATCAAGCTCTAAGATTTCTATTTTACAAATGGACACTAATGGATGTGGTGATGGCCGGGTGTGTTGGAGCGTTGCCCGTTCTATCATCCTCGTGCCTAGCAACGCCGGTTCGAATCCGGCCTGAGTGGGGTTGACTTTTATTTCGTAGCGGACCCACGGAAAGAAACTCGACTCTCCCACTCTGATTAGATCAACAACAGATTTAGTGTTCTGGTTAGATCAACTCTAGAACAACCCTCCCCTATACCAAAAATGGTGAGTGGGGGTTTTCCAACAAAAAAAAAAAAAAAAAAAAAAAAAAAAACGGGGCATTTATATGAATTTTGCTTCTTCATACCAAAAATGCTGTAGGAAAAAAAATCTTTAGGTTTTTGTAATTTATGGATGAAAGTTATACACAATAACTCAGTTAATACTATATGTAATATTTTTTTTCTTATTCTATTCAAACAATAAAATAGTCGCCTTACAAAAATCTAGAAATCCAGTCAAAGCATAAGTAAAAAAAAAAATATGCATATTTTTAAAAATAATATAAAAGCATGTGTGTATTTAAGTAGTTATTTTGATTAGTTTATTCTGTTTTTGTTTAGTATTGTTTCGTTTAGTTTATAAACATTTAACTTTAGTATTATTATTTTGCCGTTTATTTACTGTACATAGTGTGAAAGAGCTACTCTTCGATCACTATTAATATTGTTCCTAGATGTGACAAAGTGTAATATTATTTCTCAATAAAGAATTGAAAAATTAATAAAATAATAATTTTCTCGGCTCCTAGGGCCTATTATAATGAACGCCGGGACATGTGTCAAATAAGTTTTGATTTAGGATCTCTCTCCCGTCTTTCCCCTAAAAAAATATATTCAAATCGGTGACTCTCTGACTGAAATGACCCAGCCTGTTATATGTTTACTTTTTAAAAACGAAATACTTTAAATTAGTTTTAAATTAGGAAGAATAATTATATTCTAGCTTTATAAAATTTATATATTAAAATTTTAATATTAATAATTGCTGAGTGAATGTCTAATAGTATAATATGTTAGTGATATGTAAGTTTAGTGATTCTGAATCAATTCGAAATAAAATAAAGTGTTGTGTTAAAGATGCCTATGTTCACTTTGAAGAGGCTTTCTTTCTTGATTTTCGAGCCATTACAATAAAATATTAGCTGTTTACAGCTCTAGGCGACTATTGAACTATTATGCAAAAACAACAGTCCAAGAAAAATGCCAAGGAAAGATGCCTTTTAAAATCATAGAGGTCAGAACTGCAGGGGTCAGTATCCGTTCACATCGACCTGCTCACTCACGAACGACTCAAGGATTAAATAATGAAAGCATCGGACCGGGAATGCATCTTGCTTATGAATGATGATAAGAAATGACTGGTATTCCTATCCTAGTATTGGAAATTTAGCATCTTCTGTTTTTGTGATGGTTCTCTTTAATTTTGGAGGGGAGGCTTCAGCCCGAAAGTTTTTTTTTTTCATAAAAATAGTGATAATTAATTTGGAAAAAAAGAAAGAAACAAACTACCTCTATGAAATGGTCTTTAAGTGATTCCTCAAGTCCTTTTAAATGTAATAACACGAACAATAATACTTTAAGAGATAATGTTTTAATATTTTTTCCATAAAACATGATTATATTTTGCGATTTTGGGGGGCTTGCAGAGGCAAAGCCCCCTCCCCCCCGTAGATCTGCCCCTGTCTTTACGTGAGACGTGCACATGAAATATTTAATGAAAACCTAACAATGAGAACAGTGACGCATCCGGAAAATGTTATGATCTGGGGTTGTTTTTATTACTTTAGAATTGGCCAAATAAAGTTTTACCATAATAAATACTACTGTTAATGCAGAAAAATGAATAAAAACTTTAGAAAAACGTTTACTTGACTCAAAGAGAACTGAACTTTTGCACTACCATGACTTAATTTTTGAAGATAATTCTGCTCCAAGCCACATCACCAAATCTGAAATTATCCATGTTAATTGATTGGGAGCATCTTGCCACTTTTTATTTTTTATTTCCATGATGGTTTTTGTATAGATAATTCAGTTTTTACTAACCAATGAGATTTCAACATTACCATCGCCAGGTAACAGCCCTGATTTAAAACCTAAAGAGAACTTGTGGATGAACATGAAAATAATTAACGCAGTTAAACCTAAAAATAAAGAAAGAGTAATATAAACCATTCAAAATGTTTCGAATAACGAGATCAGTGAGATGAGGCCATAAAACATTTGGTAGAATTGGTGACATTCAAAGTTGCTTCAGTGATAAAGGCTAAAGGTGGTTTCATATTAACCAGAGAAAATGTGAACGAAAGACATGATTTTTTACAGATTTTCAGGTGTTTTTCCCTAAGGATCATTGATTTTCAATTAATTATATTATTATTTTATTTAGACAGTACTTGTTAAAGATATGCGTTGATGTTCATCTTTGGAAAAATGAATTTTTTTACTTAGTGTTAAAATTTGTATGACCACCACTGTCTATTAATTACTTCCTGGAAGAAAGAATCCTCTGGAATATCAAGGACACATTTTTTTATTTTTTACCATCACTGAAAGAGAGTTCATTTTATGAATTTGTTGAACAAATGGATTGTGAAGGTTCTTTCGTCAACGTTAGGATTAAATAAAACGTATTGAAAGCAGAACAAGCATTTTATTTTGGCCATAGAACAGATAGCAGAGTAGAAAAGTTGTATGTGTTAATATTTTAAACAAAGGATAATCTTTTTAACGGTTAATTAAAAGTGCTACCAATTAGCAGTAATTTTTAAGAACTAAGACAGTTCTAAATTGATTTGAAGAAATCAGCTGTATCTGAAAGCGAATTCGGTTTTTAAAAAAATGTAAACAATCATTATATAGTCACAATAAGAAGAAAGAAAGAAAGTTACATGAATAAGAAAAAAGTAAGCAAAGAGCCAGATTGCTAACATCCCTCTCCTGATTTCTTTGCTTAGCATTTACCAGTTTTTTTTTAGAGGGGCCCTTTATCTTTTATTCATTCCCTTTTGGTTTCTTCGATAGAAGAATTTATTAACTCAATTATGTCTTAGTCTTGAAACAAAAAAAAAAAAAGAAAAAAAAAAAGAAAGGAAAGAAGAAAAAATGTAATAACCGGAAGATATAATTAAAAATACCTCTGGTGTCCTCCGTTCAAGAAAATCTAAAGTATTGTGCCTCATTTAAACAACTAAAAGGTCCCTGAAAATTGAATTTTTTT